GCTGTAATGCGCTCCTGCTAATGTGATTTATTGTGATGCTAACGATAATTGACATTGGGTTCCCGGTAATGTTGAAATACTGCCCTGAATTTGTGATGATGCTGTGCTTCATACTATTGAATGAATCACGTGATTGCTTCATAGGTTCGTTGAATCAGTAAAGTGAGAGTATTAAGAATTGAGGTGAGTAGGTAAAATTGATATTGTAATGAATGATTAAAATGTGAATAAACATGTTGAGCTGTTAATAAAGATGGTTTAATAATAAAAGGATTCTTCTTCGGAACGGGATTGAATTGGAATTCTTTTTCATGTGATTCTTAACTTAATAAATGGCTATTTCACCTTCTGATTATGATAATCAATATCACATAAATTGTGAAAGGCTTTCATTGTTGATAGACATGTTGTGGTATCGACAATTTAATGATGACCAAGAGAATGGAGTGATTAATTTAGAATCTTTCGTAAATAATAATCTTTGGTAAATCATTCTGATGAAAAAGTGAAACAGCAATTCGTTCCCATTTTCGTTGACCGGAAAATCATGTTGAGGTGAGTTTCTTGGAGTTTATGGGCTCACAAAGGTCCAAGTGAAAAGGGACTCCGTGAGCAGGTTAATGAACAAGATTCTTTAGTAGTTGAATGAGCATTCAGTGAAATTGGAACTAATGAGGAAATTGTTCTTGTGGAAAATAATTCCTCGAAGATCCTATTCTTCAACAGATTCTACTCAGTAATTCCATTATTCCCAATTAGCCAACGTCATTCTTTTTTTATTATGGGAATATTGAGAAAAAGAAATATAACAAAATGAAACAGTCGAAAAACGACTGTTTGACGCAATTCAAGCAAATAAATTGTTTTTTATTCAATATTTTTTCTTATCTATTTTCGTTTACCAATCCTTTTTTATTCTTGTAAGTACTAATGAGATTAATAATTTTTCATTCAGTAGAATGGAAAATTATTGAGGAGTTTGGACGGGAGAGGATTTTGTCAATGGATTAATTGAAAAGAAAATGAGCAAAACAGCAAAATCCGAATCTGGTTCTAGTGCAAGAACCAGGGGGAGATCCAGAAAGGGAAAATGTGTTGCTGACTTTCAATCGAATAAAAAAAGAAAAGTGTAATCGGCCTAATCTAATCAATTGAATTATAATCTATTGAATTATAATATGAATAGAAAATTATTTTTCTCTTTAGCACGCCCAATAATAAAAAAAGTTGATAAATAAAAATTGATGAAAAAATTTTGTTGATTTGGAATATTCTTTCATGATCATTTGAGTACGATTCCTGATGAAAATAATGAAACAAAGAATAGTCAAATTAAGAAATAGTTGAATGCAGCCGAAGCCCCTAATTTCCGGACGACTGGGCCGTACTTTGTTATTTAAATGATATTTAAATGAAAAATGATTCATCACATGATTATACACGTGTAATATTATTGAAAGGTGAAATAATCAGTATAGTTTTCATTTTATTAAGCACGCAGAGAAATATTCAGTAAAAATTATGGAACAATTCGCGTAATCCGCAATGGGGAATCGTTTGCTGGCAATTTCTATAGGAATGGACGAGAAGAAATCTGAAATGTTCAATGAGGTAATTCTGCACGTGGGCACGACTCCTTTATTTTCCCTCCCTTGGTGGAAAATATACTATTTTTGCTTCAATTCCATCAAATAGTCGTTTTTCGGATGTTTCATTTTGCTCCACTCTCGCCTATAAAATATAGGTTTAATATTACAAGCACATGGGAATAACAATAATCGAGGCTTTTTGAATACTTGAGACAAAGGGAGAGTAGGTCTATGGAATGTAAGCCTCACGGAGAAAGACGACTTTTAATATATCATGGGGTCCCTGAAAAACTAAAAAAAATTTCGAACCCAACCCATTTTACCCCGTATGTTTGCCGAAAACGTAGTTTTTCGTGTTTTAGGCTGTGAAATCCCCCTCGCACCACAATTTTCATCCGATTTAACCTTTTTCTTATAAATATAAAATTATATATGATAAAACTAGGTATTTTTTCGATTATCTGAATTAGATCATGGAACAATTGATTTTTTTCTGTTTACAATAGAACTTCCATAACGGCATGCACTGTTAAAAATTTTTGTCTGAAATTTCCGGTAAACTTTTCGTAAATTTTTATCAAATTTGATTATCAGTGAAATTTCAAGGAATTTCGTCATTGAAAATTCACAATTTCGTGAAAAAATCAAAGAGAACTGTAAATTTCCGTTTCATTTTTCCCTGAAAATAAATAGAAAACCAAAAAAGTCCTGTAAATATATTCTGGAATTTTCAGGGCAGTTACACTGAATACTATTTTGCAGAAAAAAAAAATGAAATTTCCTATTTTACTGAAAATGCAATGTAATTCGGCACTGAATATTCATATTAGATTAGAAATTCAAATGAATTAAGTAATTCTCGGCTTTATACTGCTTAAAATTTCGGTATTTTACTGAATTTTCAGTGAAACCTGAAATTTCATATTTTCCCCCCTAAATCGTATTCAGTGTCACTGTCCTGAAAATTAGTAGCTAACTGTCCATAAAATTTCTTTTTTTTTGAATAAGCGCCTTCTCAGAATTTGAACTTACAAAAGGACCTTTCTTCGCCAGCGAAAGAGCGAATTTTTGGAGTAAAAATAACTATCTTTATTGGAGTGTTCTTATCGATTTGAACTCTTAAATTAAAAATTATCTAGAAGACTCTATAAATAGATTAAATGATAAAATTAATCGAAATTCTTGAAATTACTATGCAAAAATTCATCAGAATTAGAATGAATTAGCTCATGTATTCTTCTCATTTTATGAGTGCTTTCCGTCATCTATAAATACGCAATCAATCAAGACATAAAAAACTAAACAATAACCTGTAAAATTATAGTCTACGTTAATATTTATGATCAGAGAAACAATTCAAAAAAATGTTAAAATATCACGTAAATCTTTCGTTCGTTACATATTATAATTGAATAATTCTGATGAAAATTTAACGATCAGTGGAGAGAGAATATGATCATTTTTTACACATAAGTTCATGTCATCATGTTGATCCGATATAAATCAAATATACCTCTTACCTCAAATTGATTTCACTCATTCATCCAAACACGAATTATAATTAGCCGGTTTTCAATTCAGTACAATTAATTATGAAATGCGAAAAACATTGTGCGCACACTGATTAATATTTATACATATACGTCAATCGACAAAGCAAAATGGCTTAGAGTACTCTAACGACTGTCAATGACATTACAGTAGACTCCCGTTATAGTCGCACTCGTGGGGGAATAGGGGAAGCGAATTCGAAGAATGCGACTGTATTTCGCTATCCCCACTACGCGCTCACGCGCGGCTAGATTTCTGAGAGCTAGGACCCATTAAATGGAAATACTAAGGCTTTAATTTTCGTTTTATTTCCGTTAACGCTTTATTAAATAATTTCAATCATTACGTTAACATTTCAACGTACATTTCATTACCTTTTTTTTTTTTTATATAATGAACAGATTTTTTTTATCAAGAAACTTTTTTTATTATCAAAGTGGTTTTGGTCTTCTAGTTTTAGTTGTAAGTTTCATGTTAATTTTTTTTCACTTTTTTATCGGCATTCTTGCTGTTATTTTCTTTACTCTGATTCATTATCTAATTGACCTTATTCCAACAAAATTAGAACCTATCTCCACGACTAGTCTAGAGGGAACTGAATTTTACGATGGAAAATCCATATCTATAGTATTTTGTTTTTTGGCGTTCTGGGAATTGAAAGACAATGCCTCCTCACGTTTGAAGATAACGTTTGAGTGTTTGCTCCGGGGCCCGTAGGTAATACAGTGGGGGTAGCGGTCAAGCGACGAAAAATCAATATAAGGGGAATTGCAGCTGTAACAAGTGCGACTATAACGGGAGTCTACTCTATACGATCTGTATTCATCAACGTCCGAGTAGCGAGAGAGCTGCCTGGCTGGTCATTATTGTCAAGACACCAGTCTGCCTTATTTTAGCGCCTTACTTGTTTATTTTGGAAAATTGTTGATGGCGCGAAGGTGTAAATGGTAGTATCATTACGAACCTCAGTTAAATATTTCATTGGATATGATATGAAACTGGAAAATAATTCTGATTTATAAAAAAAACAACAGTTAATGACCAATTTCATAGTATGAATAATCTTATTGTGGTGAACTTTTTGGAATTTAGATCAACAAAAGCTTTTACGCGACTTGACGAATGGTTTCATCATAGAAATAATCACAATGCTCTCAATAAATAAATGAAGAATTTATTGAGAGAGAAATTTGGGGGAATGCCTGTCACGTAAGTTGTACTACAGCGAATTTTTAAGAGGAGACTACTATGAGTTATAAATGTCGCGGGCGATTGGAGTGAGGTCTCTCATACATTGAAAATTGATTATATACGTCTAAAAACGAATTATTGCGCAAAAATTAATTGTTCATTGTTCGTTTGCCACGCACACGCTTAAAATGTTAAAAATAGTCCAGGGTTTCTGATTTTTTGGCGACAGAGGTTTCTGTTTTTTCCAAAAATTTTGAAAAAATATGTGCAATAATTGCGAATTCGTTTTTTGAACTTCGTCTCCTACACAGCTAACTTTGTTTTGAAAGGAGAGGACAAAAGCAAACGCAAACAAAAATATCCTCTCATAATATTTATAAAGACAATAATGAATCCTCATTATTCACAAAATTACGTGTGTTCCCATAATTGTTCTCGTCATATCATTCGATCGGCAGAATAATTATGTGCAAACAAATGTAATAAGAGTGGAAAATCACCGTATTATCTCACGTTCATCATAACGTCTGTTATTTCTTGTCACATTGATAAATAAGTGCTCATAAATAAGAGTTATGGAGGGGAACCCCACGGGTTTCACTACGAGGTGGCGCCACTTGTCGACGTGAGTTTCATCGGTGAGACTTGAAGAGAAATGTTAAACGCTGATTCATGAATTAAGAGTAAAAAAAGGTTTTATTGTTTAATTTATCAACATAACCGTACTTAAGCAAAGAGGGAGAGGTATGTAACAAATGAATTGTAATCTTTAACTAGTGATTTTCGATGGAATTTCGAAGCATGTAATTGGGTTGCTGCTTCCCAACAGTGCCCAGGAAACAACCAGTTTTACCTGTAATTGAAATTTAGGTTAATTAATAATCATCTCTGGCAGATTCATAGCATATGATAAGGTCAATGTGAAAGATTTTTTCAATATGCATTCATCGCATTACCGAGGAAATTAAATAATGAAGAATATTCAACAATGGAAATGTAAACATTGTTTTGAATTCGTGTTCATCTTTTCCCTCAACTTTTCTTTTAAGGATATCTAAGTCTATCTTTTACAGTTTAGTACAGATCACACTATAGAAGAAGATGACGAATGAACTATTCAACAAAAAATATACAACTCTAGTCAAAATTAAGGAAGTAATGATGAATCAGTATTATGCAAATAATTACAATTTATAATAAAATTGAATGATGAACATAACTCATTATTATTCTAAACTTGTATTCCAAAAAATAAAACGTGAGATATACTATTCTGGCGCCTCCAGTTTACAATACGCGTGCGACAAGTCACTAAAATTTCCGGACACGTAGGGTCAAAAGTAGAAAAGCATTTCACTGGTGAAAAAACAGCCGAAGTACTTGGAAATGAGTGATTTTAGAAAAAAAAACCTCCTTTAATGATCATAAAATTACCCACAAAAAATAAGTTAAAAATAAGTAAAAATAAGTTTTTACATGAAGATGATTCCATTTCTCAGGAAATGTGAGAAAGCAATTTGGTTTGTGATGTGTAATCACGTCTTTCCACTGAAAATTTAATCACCTTAATGGTACTTATTACTATCAATTATGATGTAATATTGTTCTCTGTTGGAATATTTGAACACAGCTCTTCTGTTTTTCTTCAAAAATCACTCGACAAGGTTTATGACGTGTTGGGGAAAGTCCCCAGAAAAGGACTAATTTATGATCCGTTGTGCTCCGAACTCGAGAGCGTTGCAATCCTTACCACATGTAGAAATTCAAAGGAAACTCTGTCCTCTGGAGTCATAAACTTTGTCTTGCTTTTCCCTCAGTAAAGGTTTTTCAAATAGTTAGAATTTAGTCTCTGGACAACGGTCCTCTAGTACAGTCGTGCCTTCCTCGTGCCAATAATAAAGAGTTCAAGTTAAAAGTATTCATTGCGTTACTACATTTATTTATCCACTTTTACCCATATCCCAATATTCTCAGTAATGAGTCATAAGTAATGAGTCCATTTTCGGTATGAGATACTGAAAATGAAACTCGTACTGAATCTATACCTCAATGGTACATTCTACTTAGTGCATTCCTACTGACACAACGCGCGCACCACGGTTGCGTGAGTTCCCAGACAATACCATTACGGCATATATCGGTACTTCCTGGTGAACTGCTAGTACACTGATTATTGAAACGACACAAACAAATTCATGCTGCATTCAAAAGACAAAACTTGATAACTGTACCGGAATAAGCAGATAGCTTGATACCAGATAAGCGCAATTATTGTTCTCAAATGTAATTATCTCGGTAGATAGTGGTTTTCAAAAAAAGTGTCAAAAATCTTTTTTTATGTGGAACAGAAATACGGAGAAATGGCGTGACAATAATGTGACTGTTTTACCATATGACTGTCACATTCCATCTAATTGGAGGCATCACAGGTCATGCTAGTTCGAAATTCTAAAACTTATATTCTTAACGGAATATAGTGGAAATGATGATCGATTTTTTCGCTTTGAACAAATACCACTAATATCCAAATATAGAATTTCAGATGTGAATAAAAAGAAAACAAAAGTGCTGAAAAAACGAGATAACAATATTCTAAGTACGGAATTACATTGATAAGATGACGTTTATAGACTAAGTCTCACTTCTTTCACTCAGAATTGTCGTACAGTTGAGATCAATAAATGATGATTACAGGCAGCATTCATTGTTAATTGAAAGAACCGAGCCTCGGCTGGGCCAAAATGCCACACCCATTATGAACCCACTGTTCCATGATTGGTTGATCGATAGATAACAAAGGACAATCGATGCATAAAATATAATTGCCCCATTATAAAATTGGTGACCAGTTTTCACCACAAAAAATTTACGACAGTCCCATTACATCAAACTAGTTGATTGTTATATGTCAGTCGATGGTATGATCAAAATTCAAACACAAAAAAAATTCATCTCCCACGATTATCATCCTATTATGAACTGACAGATTTTAGAAAGTGACGGTTCCACAGTCCTGATGTGAAAGTGTTAGGACTGCACAATCGTTTCTGGAGACTGTCGAACAAATCCGATAATATCCTAAATATACACGAAATGAAAGAATTTGTTATCGACAAAAACTATGGATTTATGAATATCGTGCAGTTCATTTTGTAAATATGTTTGGAACGATCCGACTTGAGAACGACCGTAGACCTTTCCAGTACAGAGAAAATTTCCAATGAACAATATCTCTCAACGTAATTCCCTAAAGCCACTCTTCACCGAAATAATTTGACTTTTAACGACACGGTAAAAAATCGGTTTCAAGAAAGTGATTATTTTTACCTTAGGGTAAATTTCCAGAACAGGAAATCCATTTTTGTAATAATACTCAGTGCCTGCTTTCAGTGGACATCCAACTTTTCCGTCCGCATCGTAAACATTCTGGCATGCGTCACTGCCATCGACTCCGATGAACGGTAGACGTACGCCGAGTATTGTTGCGGAGACAGATGTGGTGAGCCTATCAACATCTTCGTTTGGTACAAACTTCTGCACAAGTTCTACCCTCGTACCACGTTTTAATTCACATGGTGGCTCTTCACAGTTGGTTATTGTGATGGACTTGATATTGTCGAGATTCCTACCTAGAGAATAAAACGAGAATGAGCATCAATGAGGACGAAGGCATGAGAAACCTCAACGTAGGCGGCAGCACTGAGCCGGGCCCTTATATGTGCATTCGTTGAATAGTAGAAAATTGCGAAATTGATTCTGCTATTTCTTCCAACTCTTTTTGTTGGATGAAGGGCGTAAGGATATCCAAATAGCTGACCCTTGGGGGATTCCACGAAGGATTATCGTAATAAATAAAAAGACAGATGAAAAATCCCGAATGAAATATTCGAATGTTCAATAAACTAAATGACGGTCACGGATTAAATGGGGAAAGTAAAATAATGAACAAAACTGTAGAAAAGTGTACCCAAATATTTCGTTACAGTTTTCAATAACAGGACACGGATTCATTGGAAAAAAATGACAAATGGTCAAAAGTACCGTTGTGGGGAAGTTTGAATGAAAGCGCCTCATGAATGCTACGATCTTTCTCAACATTTAAAGAACATGAAAACCCCAAATGACAATACATCTCGATCGTTTTGATATTTTATGCTCTCCCAATATTCTATATTCGTAAGTTGCCTAAACATCTAGGGAACATGACGGACAGCCTAGGGACCGCAATCGTTGCTAGTTGTCTACGCAACAAGTTGAGCGACTCGCGATAGTAACCTAGATGTGGGATGAGCCACTGGTCTCTGATGTAACTGCTCTTGAGGGGCAACCAATGAGATCCCTAGCAGGGAACCAATGATGGAAATGAACCAATGAAGTCAAGGAGAACCCAGTGATCTCATTGGTTGCCCGCCAAGAGTAGTTAGCTCAGTACCCATGCAGGGCAATACAAAGTGGCGGAACAGCGGGCCAAACTCGGCGCCGAGTTCCCCGATAATCGGTTGCGATCTTCGGCTGATGTTCGGCCCAACGTTGGGACGTTCTCTCGGGCCATCATAGACACCGATGTACGGCCAATATTGGCGTTGATTATCAGCCAACCATTGGTGAAACAAAATTTTAAAATCGTTCATACATATTAGTTCCTATAGTTTATAATCGTTTTAAGAAGAGTTACCTTCTTATCCATTTCAACAAACCAAAAAAGAAAAAAATTAAATTTAAAAAAATAAAAAATTGCCCCCGGCGGGATTCGATCGCGGGTCCTTCCGATCTGTAGTCAAGCACGCTGTCCACTGAGCCATCTGAAATTTCTTATGAAGACAAATTTTTTCGGGGATATAAATACCACATGGTGTGTTTGAATCCGCGAATGTAATTATCAATAATTAGTTAATGAAAGTGTAACTCTGATGAGAAGAGTTAATTAATTAATTTACAATTAATTCTTATTATTCTTAAAATATTTAGGCTTTCATTCGGGGTATCGATATCTATAGTCTGTATATTAGGAAAGAGGATGAATGCATACTATCCATCCATTTATTCAAAAAATAGCTTACAAATATTAAGTCGGTTCCGATCATCGGCCATCGAGCGGCCTTTCATCGGGGCCCCGACGTTTGGTGTCCGGATATTGGACCAATGTTTGGCCTTTGATCAGAGCCCCGATGTTCGGCAAGCAGATATTGGCCCGATGTTTGGCCTTTCATCGGGGACCCGATGTTCGGCGAGCAGATATTGGGCCGATTTTTGGACTTTCATCGGGCCCCGACATTCGGCGACCGGATATTAGTATAGAGACCATTTGATGGCTCCCACATCTACGTTGTGATCGCGAATACGTGACGATTTTCGCGATTTCTCTCAGCGGCGCTTTTAACGGCATAGAGTGTTAATTTTCAATGCATCCTGAATGTCTTGAAAGGTAATTAGAAGTAGTAACCACTGATTACCCATCCTGTCTCCTTGATCAATTGCGTAACTCATTGTTCTTAACAATCAGATATCTTTCCACTCATAATTTCATATTTCCAAGAACTTTACTCCATTATTGATGTTGGACTATGATTTCTGCCTGGATTACGTTTCTTTACAAACATTTACAAAACACCGGTTTCACTATACAACTCTTCATTCCCAAGAAAGCGAATTAACGTAGAGTTATGAATCCGTTTAACGATCGAACTTCCGAGTTTTATGTCACAGTTAATACTTGAATCACGTATGTTTCAGCGGCCATTACGATTGCTCCTTTATCTCATCACTACTTCGTTGAGCGATGAATAAAGATTAACATATTTTCTGAAGGGAATGAGCGCAGACGTAGTTATATTAAAATGAAAAAATCGCTGGCAAGCAAAAAAAAAGTCGACTCACGACTTTCAGACTCAACTGATGCGATTTATCAATCAAAATAATGTAGTGGATCACCTTGAACTTGATTGCTGTCTCTCTCTCTTTGATCTTGAGACTATCAGTTATTTATACTTTCAGAAGAGGATTCCTGAAGTTGAAAAAAAGCAATAATATTTTTCATCCGCCGATTCCATGTTATTACGTGACAAATGCAAATCTCTTTCAATGTAATCTGAGATTAATGTGATTCTATACAATGTGAAAAATCTAAACTATTTTCAAGTTTAATAAACCCAAGCTGTATAATCCCCAATAATTCTTTAACACGTACCTAAAGAATTCTTTCTACCTACAATAATTCAGCTTAATTAACCCTAAACAAAAACGACATGCAATACACGCGAGTGTGCAACTCCCAAGATACAGCTACCCAGTTTCTATATTTTCCTTCTCCCTGATTCAGTTTGTCCATGGTTCCATAACGATGTATGGTAATTAACGTGCCTCCATGGGCAATTTGCGTATAAAATAAGAGCCGGCTTGATGTCGAGGTCGACAATTGCAGGTAATGACTCAAGAATTACGACCCGTGGTCGTTTCAGTTCGTCATTCATTCGATTTCCATTGGGAAGAAATTTCAATTAAGGATATCCAAGTACTTCGACTATTCTTTTTCTGTGAATTGCTTTTCTACTTTTGCAGTCGAACATCAGAGCTTTCAATGATTTTATTATTTAAACTTTGCAAGTCTGAATTTGAATATCGATCAATCAATCGATTAAAGCGTCATTAAAATCTTAATGACAATGAATATTTCTAATTTTTTCAAATTTTTCTAACACATTTTAATTGACAAATTTGATGATTGAAAATGATTGAATCTATAGTGTGGCCTGTACTAAACTGTAAAATATACTGCGCTATCCCTAAGTGAAAGTAAAAAAAAACAATTTTCGTTCATCACCCAATTACCTCTAAAGCCACTGACGTTGGAAGAAAATGTCAAGATGAATTGTTTGTAGTAAAAAAAATGTTCCGAACAAAAATCATTTGAAATGAAAATAACAAAACAAAGAATAAATTGATTAAAAAATAGTTGAATGCCGCCGAAACCCATAATTTCTGGACGACTGGGCCATATTTTTTTAATCTATTAAATATTGATCAATAGAAAAAAATAATTGATCATGTGATTATACACGAGTAATATTAGTGAAAAGTAAAATAATCAGTACAATTGTCATTTTATTTATGGAATATTCAATGCAAGTTGAAATCTTCCAGAAACTAACCCCCGTCCAGAAATTCACCTGTCTACCCTACTTTCGTTCACTCCATGGTACAAATCACGAAAAAGTGAAGTAAAAAAAATTAAGCTCACCATTTTTGCATTCAATAACATCCGTTGATTCACCGAAGGCCACAAAACACAGGACAGTTGTGAATACAAGCGCCGTTTTTCCAAACATCTCAGTGAAAGTTATATCTGCCTTCTGAAGAGTAGAACTGCAGGATAATTATTTCCACAACGTGCAAACAGACTTTCACGTGATCACTGTCCGGCACGACGGCTGTCCCGATAGCTTGGACCTTCCACCGCTCTCAGGAGGATGATGCACAAGAATAGCGAGTCTTAAATACTCTGTACACAAGTCGAGATGTTTACAACCTTGTGGGAGGGGGAAGATCAACGTAACGTCTTTGTTGCGCGCAGCGTGACCTTTCTAATTCCAGGGGCACGTGAAATTATCACTTCCTAATGTGAAGCGAAGAATGATCTTCAGTTTATCAATCAATAAAGACAACGTCATTTACAATCATAAATCCAACTTCACATTATCTCTATCATGGCATTCATTAAGGAAATGAGTGATTAGAGGAGGAAATGTTTAGAGGTCTTTCTTGTGACTACGAAAATATCTTACGAAAACATGTCCCCGAACTTTTTCCATAGGGCTATTCATTAACCAAGCAACTAATAAGATGAAATGAGTATGTTCATTTATTTTCGAGAATTGTAAGAGTGAAACCTCCTCATTAATTAAGGAGGTCTGCCCAACACCCACATTATTCACAATAATTTTAACATTGTTTCATACACCAGGTTCATATTTGAGCCACACGTTAGTAATAATCTTAATCCTTCCATCGTGACCCCGTAGTGAGAAATTAATTTCTGAAAATCCCAAGCTAAGCAGCGTTGAGCTGGGTTAGTACTTGGATGGGTGACCGCTTAGGAACACCTCGCTCGCACAAAAATTGTGAGCGATAGGTACGGTGTAGCGGCCTAGTGTCTCCATCTAGTCAGTGTGACAGATGGATATATTAGGGCACTGCACAATCGGCCGGCTGTGCGGCTGTGGTTTTACATGGTTTCCCGTGCAGTCCTAGCTCGAATGGGTACAGCTAAGAGTAAGACGACCATGATACCGCAGATAACAATGAGAGGAAAATGAAGGAGGGGTTTCAAATCGAGAATTACTTCGATAAAACCAATGAAAATAGAAAAAATAAAAAATAAATAATAATTTCTGAAAATCACTTCTTGTAACATTACACTTAGGGAAGAAACGTGACTGTGTGAGCTTTGATCGAAATGTTGCATGGATTAGACACTCAAGATATTGAAAAAAACCCACAAGCCATTTACTTCAGACTATGGAGAATCTATCGCCGGCGAGAACAAGTAGGGAAGCAGGCCATATAGGCGTAATATCTTTGATTGATTTTCGACTTCCTCTAAAAAAAATTGACCGCCATTACGAGTCGAGCAACGCGACAACACCACACAACAACTGATCAAGGTCGGTAAAATCAGTGACGATAATTCAGTGTTGGAAGCATATAGACACGTATAACACACAAACATTCATCTCACTGTTACAACCCCACCACTAGCCGAAGCGTGCGATGTTACCCGATCAAAAATTCGACTGTTACCACCGCAGTCACAAGTCCTCCATTATTTATGAACATTTTCTTTAATTATTGTTTTTGAGACCGGAAAAGTACGCCATAACACGTCAAATTTTATGAGAAAAATAATTTGTAACATGAATCATTTATTTAGTCAATTTTATTTTTCGTTTCAACTGAAGTATCAACTTAATAGGTTAAACATCTTTAATTCCTCCAGGACGAGGCGTTTTGATACTAACCTCGCAATCTACTGAGTAGCAAAGCGATTCATTCCCCATAGATTACAAATAATAAAAACTGAGAATCATTGAAGTCATGAGATCTGTCTTGACAACAAGGGTTGTACAAAATTATAAACTTCCATAGTTTCTGATACAGTGGACTCTGGTTAGAGGCATATTGGTTAGTGTCGAACTTCCCCTTAATTTTTTTTTCTCGCCGCTCGAGCGCTTCCCCCACTCTGTCCCCACTCAAGCCGGAGAGTAAACACTCCAATATTTTCTTTAAATTGCTATTGTCTTCCGATCCGAGTAAAGACGAAAAATAAAATATTCTGCATTTGAATTGTCGATCAAAAAATTTAGTCCACTTCTGGCTGTCATGGGGGGAGGATCTCGTTTTGTTGGCATAATATTAATTCGAAATTGGATTAAATAAAATAATGAAGCGAGGTAAAGAAAACGACTGTAACATTTTTGATTCATATGGTTCGTTAACTCTAGAAGAAATATCTGTTCTATGGAATGTTAGGTACAAAGCTTCTGTGATCAAATATAGTCAATGAAATTAAAAATATTGATAATAAAAAAATCGTCTGAATCTATATGAATATTGCTATTATAGTTGAAGCTGTGAACTGAAGTTTATCATTAAAATAAAGTGTTGAATTGAGAGAGAAGAGAAATAGTATTTTTCATTTTATCGTTCCCAGTTCTCGGAAGTCGGGCTCGGCGTGAGCGCGTAGTGGGGCCAGGGAAATAGAGTCGAATTCTCCGAATTCGCTTCCCCTATCCCGCAAAACAGTCGACTCTAACCAGAGTCCACTGTATATTCAACTTTGAAAAGACTTGTAAAAAATTTTACGACGCCTGCATTGTCTGTTCATAATCAATGGATTAATTTTATCGCGGGATACGAAATATTGAAGTCCAGCATCAGCTTAAATTCAATATTTTAATATCCAAATTTTCAGAACTATGAACCAGTGTAGAAGTTAAACAGTCCAGGGTGAAACTCTAGCTTCCAGTTTAATGGCTTTGTGGAAATATTGACTCGGGCACTTTGCTTCAAACGTGTTTAAACTTATTCTACTCTGGCCGTTGACCCAGTCTCGAGTGTCGTATTTGCTTAGCGCCCTACAAGTGATTTTCCGTCACTCATTGTATTGTCGTGACGTTGGAAAAAGATATGGGATAAATTCGGTGAGACGGTGAGTGACATTGAAACAGCAGGAGGAATTTCATCAAAATTTGTAGATTCATTTTTTCCGTGTTTATTTTGGTGATTATCTCGGGACGTTTGTGGTGCTCAGCATTAGAGTCTTTCCCGCAGACACTTGTGATGTTTTTATGTAGAATATATTATCCATGATTATTGCAGTCGACCCCACGCCAGGACCGCGTGAATGTCACGCGTGCGCGGAATAAGAAATTACGACCAGAGAATAAACGTACCCGGAATTTGTAATTATTTATCTGCATGTCGAGGGCCTTCATCACTGCATTTACGCGGAAATTGTTGGGATAACGTAACTTTTTCGGTTTATTGGCTTAATCGATGATAAGTCCTTGTTTGGAAGAACAATTCAGCGTAAATTGTGAGGATTATTGATTCCTGTTAGTTTCAATTTTTTTCAATTTTATGATTGGGGTTTTGTCACAAAATTCCATTCGTGGTAGATGATTCAGCACTTTCAAATTCGTTGGTAAAAATTCTGAAATTTTATCCGGATTATTTATAGAACATCCCGCGCATGGACTTTTCGAACGGTACTATTCTCAAAATATTCATCTAGTGATGCCGCAAGACGCGAGAGAAACGAGATGAGATGAGACAAACGAGACGACAGATATGACGAGACGAGAAGAGTCATTGGAGACAATACTTTGGGCAATGACGAGATGAGATGAGAAAAGCCGGTCGAGAACGAGAGTCGCGAGAGCATCTCGTATCTGCCCCTCTGTGTATTTTTTTTCGTGCAAATTGGATTATAGAGACGAGATGAGTTGAGACGAGACAAGACAATCTCTTAATTCTCGACGAGACAAGAGAATGGTTTCCTGACAACGAGACGAGACGAGAAGATGCTGTTTCGCGACTCGTCTCGTCTCGCGGCATCACTGTATTCATCATTTCTTAAATTTCATGCTGTTCTTTTCAAATGAAATGAAGAAAACACTCCGGGGAATCGAACTACGAAGTCGGTTTTTTAAATTATTTACTCCGTTTTTTAATGCATTGAAAAAATTAAATTGAAAATCGGAAGAATTGTGATTAAAAACATGGGATGAATAAAGTAAATTGACTGATTTATAGAGGGAAAAATAAAATTTGAGTGCTAAAACTAAAAAGGCACAGGAACGAGCGAAGAAAGTCGGAGGGATACACATGAATAATTTGGTGTCCATCCGACATGCCTATCTTGCTTCTCCGTCCTTGCCTCGCTGCCTTTTTAGTTCCCAGGTGTTATTTTTATAGACAAGGAATATTTTTGGACAAGGCTATGACCAACGATATTCCTGGACCCCTGAGAACTTTATCAAACTTATTCGAGTCTTATTCCCGACATTTATCTGACCTTTACCTCTATAAATGCTAGGGTAGGGAAAGTAGGGAAGGTATGGCAAAATGGAGCGCTCCACTGTTTGGCTGTTTTTTCTCCAGTGAAATGCTTTATTATTTTTGTAGTTGAACATCAGAGCTTTCATTTGAGCCTCATTTGACCCTGTGTTTCCGGACATTTTATGTTGGATTGTATAGCTCTTTAGTGAGAACTTATTTGATGAGATTATGCGTACAAAAACGAATCGACGGAAAGAGTGCCCGAGAACGAAATATAAACATAAACAATGATTTCATAGGGAAAACGGACTGAGGGTTCTTCGTCTTTAGGTGGCGAAATGACGATATTCTTTTGGTCTTCTAACTGGTTTCTTCCTCCTGCCATATTAATAAAGAAAGACAATCAATAGTAAATTCACTGCGTTTAATAATGTCATGACCCATGTCTGAATTTGAATCTCAATATTGAGAAAAATTATTAGAAAATATTTTAAAAATCTAAAAAAATTGGGAAAATTTATTTTTGGAAGAAGATTGAGAAAATAATTAAAAATTGCAATTTTTAAAAATAACAAGCATTTTCTATAAACAATTTATGTTGTGGAAAAACAACATAAATGCTGTGTACAAGTTAAATAATTTATGAACAATCAATTTTCTACCGTAGAAATTATTTCTTCGGAATTGTAACAAATTTATTCACATTCAGAATTTTGCCAGAAATCCATTTCATGCCTAAATAATAAGGTTTCTGAAAGTTTAAACAATTTAAATTATTTATCTATGAACAACGAATGTTGAAAAAAATAATAAATTTGTGTAAAATGTAATTTGAATGACGCTGAATGTTCATGTTTTTTCTAAATTGTTCTCACGTAATTTAACTGGCAAATTTGATGATTGCAAATGATTCAATCTATAGTCCGGTCTA